AATTTGTTCCTGATACCGAAGGATGACACAGAATTTGTCATGCCTGGCCCCTTAGGCCCAAAAACAAATGATTGGTGCCCAAGCAAAGTTACATGAAAGGGGCTTAAAGTTTACAAGCCTGTCAAGGTAGTCACGAGCTCAAATTTCATTTTTTTTTTGGTATGGGTACTTCAGGCAGACTAGAGGTCCTTGAGGGGTTCGAGGCTGAACGGTGAGTTATCCACCTTTTTGTGCAAAATCTGTAGGCAACATTCAGCGGTAGCAGCTTGGAGAGCAGAATCTAGACTACTCTGAATCTGTGCACAGGCTTCACTTGCCTCAGCTACCACAGCTCGGACGGCAGCACAACAGAGCCCAGTGCCTTGGACAAGCTTTTGATGAGATAAGGGTTTGAGTTTGAAAATTTTCAGTTTTGTAAACTATGGCTTAGAGATGGAGACCAAAACGCTTGTTTCTGCAGGCCGTCCTGCTCGGGCTTGCATGAAGGTCTTGGGGAGCATAATGCTGGAAGAACAAAATGAGACAAGGCTGAACATATTGCTGATTATTGTCCCCGAGCACATGCTGGTTGGAAAGGAGCTCATTAGGTCCCCGAGGCAAAGCTCCACGAACCCTTTTGTGACACGAGGATTCCTACCTGAGGTTTCATGATAAGGACTGTTCTCGTTTCTTTGAACGCTGATGTTAGCAGCACGGGGCCCCAAAGAGCCTATTTGTTGAGAACGCTTCCTCTTCAGCCTGTCCCTACTTGGGGGGGCATGTGTAAGTTAAATTAAAACCCACTGAGTAGGTATCAGTTTATATGCTGTTAGTAGCCATGGTCACCTGGCTTCGGGGGCCTATAGTTAGGTCAAAACTATAGTTACTAAGTGGGCTACAAGAAACGCCCCTCCAAGCACGTTGCTTGTGTAGCTAACTGTGCAGTTGGGCCGTGCCAAGTGGCTGGGGCCAAGGGTTTCGGGCCTGGGGGTGTGCGGAAACCAAACGGAACCTCACGGCACAATCCGCTGTGGGTCGCAGTAGAGCATCAAGTCTCTAGGGTTCCAGAAGCTTTGTTAAGTGCTTATCAGTAACCAGGGCCTGTATGTTGAGAATTTTCGAATTGGGCCAGGCTCGGTCCGCCTTTTTCTTGACAGGGCTTAGTAAATATCCTGATTCTGTGTGCCGGCTAGCTTTCAGACTCATTCAGAGAAGGCACGACCATGACCACTACGTCGCAGACAGCCCCATCCACATCCGCGCCACCGGCGTCTTGCGCGAAAGCGTGGCAGCAGTGCGTCCTTGCAGCAGGTTCTGTTAGATTGAGGCATTGAGGCCGTCGGCCATGTAGAGTAGATGCGAACTTGATTATCTGAGCGCATAAGCATATCCGAGTATCCGAGCGTGAGCGCAGCAGGATCTCCTTGTTCATTTTCGTATGTGTGATTGCCAAGCATGAGTATTTTCACGCGCCCGCTGGGTGAGCAACCTGGACACTTGCAGCTCAGTTTTGGTTTCAATCACGCAGAGCTGAATGTGGTACGATGGTGTGACCTGTGCAGCCAGGCTCACGATGTGTGCAAGTACAGGCTTAACATTCCAGATGCCCGTCTAAAAGCCACTAGCGTTCAAGCAAGGTGGAGGGCGAAACCACGCTGGACCTACGTGTTGCGCACAGGGCTACCGCTGTGTGGTTGACAATGAATGGTACTCTCAATGCCGCTGGGCCAATGAGTGCATCTATTTTGTAGCGGCTCAGGGAACAAAGCGCCTACCCGCCTTCCGAGCTGTTGAACCCGAAAGCCTTGTTTCCTTGGAGAAGGTGGTAGGCTTCGAACGCAGGCGGCTATCTAGGCTTTTTAGCCTCCGAAGGGCAAACCTTGGATTACTACCCAAACGTGTTCTGGCTAAGGCAAGCCCGAGGCGGAGGCTGCCTTCGCCCAAGCCTCGCCTAAGCGGGCAACCCGCCGGCACAGGTTCCTGGGTCCGAGCTTCATGCAGTCCAAGGCAGGGCTTGGGCCACGCAAGCTTGGGATCACCAACATCCGGAAGTCGCAGGAAGGCAAATGCAGATGCTGTAAAAAAGAAGAAGAGCAATGCAACCGGCCGTTGCAACGCATGTGTTCAGAAGTGGTTTGGGCTTTCGAGTTGGTCTGTGATGTCCTGCAGAGTCAAAGTCTGCCCGTGTCATGGCGAGAGTAAGTGGAGTTTACGCAGTCGGAACTTTCCGGAGCTCAGAGTATCACCTCCCCACCGGCAAAAGTCCAAGGCATTTATGATGTCGACCTGCCAGCCCTGATGTGCTTGACAGTTGTCTTCAGCTTTGAAGACTTACTTGTTTTTCTGCGAGAGGGCCGAAAGGCAATCCATCTTTTGTACATCTCAGCACGACAGGCGACGACGCAGACAGCAGCGTCTTCCGCAGACTTGACAAAGTGGTTGGCTTGCAATGGTCCATTTTTCTTTGAAGTACCTGTTGTTTTCGTCTGAAGAATTAAGAGGCATCACATCCAGCTGCACAACCAAGGTTGGAGCTTTAAAGACGAGGCCAGATCTTCAGGATTCTACAGGGATTGTTTTGATAGGTTTAGAGATGCAGGGTTCGGAATTTGTGTTTGCAGGATTCTGGATTTGCTTGCTGATCCCCCTGAAGAAAGGTAGGCGGAAGCATGACAGCGGGGCCCGTGGCACACGGGCTGCAACATTAACTGGAACAGGGCAGGCGTGTAGAACCTAGGGCCGGTGACAGGTGTCTGCAGTCCACTCATTCGCATAGTGAGGAGGCCCCTATGACCCTGTGAGCCATAAGAATGCAAACCATGCTCAGCTCCAAGTCAGGGTTCTTGCTGCTGCTGCTGCTGTGGCTGCTGCGGCTGTTCTCATCATCATTGCTGCCATATCTGCTGAATCTTGTGTGACTACAGTGCCACCACTTCCTCTTGCTCGCCCTTCCTCTTCCTTTTCTCTTTCAACGTCTCCACTCCACAAGCCACCAACTGTCGATTCATCCTCAGGCTCAACGCCGCATAGCGGGCTGTGATGGAGGCCCGCCCTTGCAGGGTTTTGAGTTGGGATTCAGACTTGTGCCTCGAACACGACCTCGTCAAGAGAGTCTGAGACCACCGAGGCCTTGAGGTGTAACCTCGACCATACAACAACAGGACCTGAGCCCTTTGGCCTGGTGAGCGAAAACACAATAGCCTGCTTACAGGGCAACTGCAACTTTCCTCAAAGAGCACAACTTGACCTGAGCGGACAGGATCCTCTCTTGAAGTAATGGAATTTTCCCTTCCTATAAATTCACTGAGTGCTAGCATGAGAATCTTGGATTTGCTGCCTTGTGAGCTGTGCTCCTGCGTTCCCAGCGAAGCTCCCCGCATTTGGGATCCCCATAAAGATGGTAGCCCTGTTGCATCTGTACTTCGAGGGACGCCCTGCCGAGGTTTGAGATTCAGGGCAAGTGTGCATTCACGTGATCATTAGGATCACAAGACTTCGAGTTTTAGAGTCTCATGGAGGAAGGGCCTTGTGCTTCAGGCAAGCCCTGCACAAAATCCACAAGCCTGAAGACTGCATCCCACAGCTCTTTTCTCGACTAGGCACACCCTTTGAGAATTCCATCTGCTGGGCTGGATAAAGGGCCAAATACCTGGACAATCTGGCTCTCCGTCTGCAGGAAGTCCCCAAAGACATGCAGGAAGTCCCCAAAGACAGGAGAGTCTTTGAGAGGAGAGTTCACGGTCTCGGGGTTTGGCATTCTGGCCTCTGGCCGTCATCGTAGCAGGGGCAGTGAGGGTTTTGGGGTGTGAGGTCAATATGGACTGTGGCCAGAGCTGTAATTTGATGGGTGTAAGGACAGAGGTCACTTAATCCTAGAAAGTGACCGTAATCAGGCGCAATATCCTTAACTAGGCGCAATATCCTTCGTCCCTGTGCTTCTAAACCATGCTCCCATGTGTCAGATTCCAGACGTCATGGCGCTTCTTTGCTGTAGTGGCAGCGTACTAGCCCCGTGTTACACTTAGGGTTGTTCAGAGGAGTGGAGTTAGCAGATGGTCTTCAGATACGACCAAGGTCCTGCTCTTTACATTTTGCTGCTTAAGCCGCTAATTTTAAAGTAGCAGACCCCCAAACTCCGATCCAGAAGCCTGAGGCCACAGCACTGCAAGGACCTGCATGCAGCAGCTATAGCCGCCAAGTGCCCTGTGCACGGCGGAACTTTCTTTTGAACGCGGAGCTTCCTGACTCTGGAGGGTTTACGGTCCTTGCTTCTGTTGAGCAGGAGCTGATTTCTGGGCATATTGACGTCTTGAAACCTTGTGTGTCAAGCGAAAACCCTGATTCTCGGGAACTCCAATGATGGTCTCGGTTTTGCACAGCCACCGGGTACTGACCGTTTTGCAGGCACTCATCCACTGAAGAGGGGGTGGGTGCCTGGACCATGTATAGAGCTACAGCAAAGGCCAAAGGTGTGCCAGCCAACAGATTGAATTAGCACGGTTTGAAAACATCGGAGGCTTGATGGTAAGTTTTATTTGAAAGATGTCTGTAGTTATCACAGTCGAAACCCTTTTCATCCCCTCCGCTAACGCTACAGCTTCCCGCCTTCCTAACATTGACCTTTTCATATATTTTACCGTAAGATATGGCTTAGGGAATTGTGAATTAAGTAGGGGAAGGTGTTTTACTGTAAGGGGAGCGGATTACTGGAAAAGTCATTGGCGTTGAATGTGCTTTGCTGTAAGGAAGTGAGCTCGAAGGCTTCAGAGAAGTTAGTGCATCATCCGTCTTGTGTCATATCTACCACTGTTGTTCCTGCAGGTCTCCCGTAAAGACCCATAACCATGGGATTTTCCTGGCAGCGCTGGGGGCGAGGACCTGCACAGGCCTTTCATAGTCGAGCTCCATAGTCACCAAGCCTGCTGTTTGATCCATTCCTGTTGGCAAAACACCTGCTTTCAATATCCGCGACCTTACTGAAGCCTCACGATCCTGACTCTGGGAAATCCGAACTGGTGCAGGTCACCACGTCTACGTGAAGCTGCAGAAGGTCTATGACCCGCGTCACGGCTCCTTGCCGACTCTCCAAAGTAGCTTTGTGAGTTTACGATTCAAAGGGCGCAGCGCGTTACGAGGTAGATTTTTGAGGGCTCGGCAAAGTCCTACCTCATCTTTTTGTTCAGCTTTTAGAATTCTCCCTCCCCAACTCCTCGGCCCGAAGCCCAGCAAATGCAGCGCTCGAGACGTTTCAAAGCCACAGCTTGAGGCTTAAGCAGGCACAGCCACAATTAATTATGGTTGAAGCACTTCAGGACCCTCCCAACAGAAGGGGCTGACAGAAACTCTAGGGTACATGAGAATTACCAGGGGTTGATGGGGTCCATACGGAGGATTCAAAGAGTGGTGGGTTTGGAGTGGTGGGCTTTTGAGAAAGCCCCAACAGCACGCGGTGGTGCCTGAGGATACTGCGCCTGGCCTGACTTGGCCGCCGGCTCGAAGAGGACAGATTTTCCCTGAGTGTAGGTGCCAATGAAAGTGGAGGTCTTGGGTGTAGCGCTTTCCCACACAGAGAGGCTTGCATGGCTTCAAATAGCCAGCTAAGGATGTAAGCTTGAGGGACACAGAGTCCAATGCTCGGCTCTTTTGCTTAAACCAGATGAGCCAGAACCTAAACTCCTTTAAGAGGGCAGGGGGACTACTACAGGGGTTATGAAGGCGATGCTAGGAGTTAAGTCTAGCTCAGATTAGGGCTGAGGGCTGCAACATGTTGGAAAGCTGTCGAAAAGCTTGGGATTATACAGCAATTGGCTCTTTGTTGAGGCTGTGAACTGTGAGTGGTAGCTTGTAGAGGTCCCCCCCCAAAATAGACTGCTGTTCCTGAGGATGCACCCCTCCAATTCCAAACATGATCTTTCAGTCGTCCTTAGAGTAGTAGTGGCTTTGATCTGTGCGATTTTTCAGGAAGCCTTTCAAATACCGAGAAGATGCGCCTGACGGCGGACTGATGGACTTCCTGGAAGGCCGTGCTTCAGAGTTTCGGTTTGGGCTTCGGAGTTAACAGTGACTAAGTCTAAGAACTTAGGGAGAAGGCGTGGAGATTTGGTACTTCAGGATTTTCCTGAGCTGTGCAGCTTGACCTCCAATCTCCCGTCCCAAGACAAGGTCCCGTATCCCCAATCGTTGAATTGAAGCTCAGTCTGACATCTGTAATTCGCAAACCTTGGATCCTGGAACCATGGGTGGGTTAGGCTACGCCGCAAAATTTGGGTCGTCTTAGGCTTTGTGAGGGAAGCCGCTGCTGAATGCACACCGCGCTATACTCGCACCGCGTGTGGGAGCTTGTTTTTCGAGAATCATTACGCAGGCACCCAGATTTCTGGCTGAACCTCTAAAAGGCTTCATGGCTGGATGCGGCAAAGCCACAGTTGGAGGCCTGCCGGCCTCGCATCAGCATCGCTGCCCAGTGTTTTTGAATAAATCCTTCCCAGAAGAGTCCTAGGTGGCACAGTACGGGGATCCACTAGTTTGGGACTGTGGGTCAATTTGGTTTGCCGGCAAACTGGTAACCCCTTTCTGGGCACATGTGAGTGACACCACTCTGAAGCCCTAGGCCCTAGCCAGGTTTTCTCAAATCCGTACAAACGTAATCAGATTTGCAAAGCGGCATTCATAGCAACCGCGAGTCATGGTTGGTATCATGAGCGCTGCGCAATCTGCGTACTGCTGTGTGCCTCCATGCCAGGCGAGTACGAGAAGTACGAGGCTGGCTTGCTGGAGCTTACCTGCCCCGAAACTAGCACTGAAACCGGGGTAAATGAGGGGTTGTAAGAGGACAGTAGTTTTTATAGGCTTTTTTGTCGGCTTGGCAGGTCACAGGATTTAGGGTTTCATGCTGGTTTTTGTTGCTGGCAGCGTGCTGGCATTGAGTTTTGTACCATTGTTCTTTCATTGTAAGTACAGCTTTTGCTACTTACTGTGGAGGCTGCCACAGAACCACAAAGCTGTGCGTTTGTTTGGGGCCCAATGCAGTTCCTCAACGTGGATCGAAACTATCTCATGGCAGTTTGGAGCTTCCTGTACTTACCAGTTGTTAGAAAGGAACGGACCTTAGTAGGCCCTACACAGCCCCCAAAAGTCTACTAAAGGTTCCCTTATGCATTTCCAGTCCTTCATTCCCTACTAACACCCAGCAAGTGTAGTTCGAAGGATTGCTATGATGACCGTGGGATGGCCGCAATGGTTCCTTGCAAATTGATGTACGGGAGAAGCGCAAGCAGCTGTAAACGAAAGTAGGTTAAACACACGTCAAACAAGTCAGCTAAACCCTTCTCCTCTCCCACTATGCGACCGCTCGTAGCCACATACAGCACATACAGCCTTTCGTTCGTATTGTGTTTCAGGGCTACGATGGCTTCCGCTATGATATTGGCAAAGCCATGGAGCAGGTTCACCGATGTGAGCCGGGCACTCAGGCTCTTGCATTTCCATTTCAAGATTGAGAACGATTCTTATGGTGCTCGGGTATGTGCTACTTGTAGGACGATGGTCTCCATTTTGGTGGTTGTTATGCTAGGCATCCTCTTGATATGGGTGTGTGTTGCAGTGATCCTGCTGGCACATACCCGCACCACAAGCTTTCTGCCATTTGTGAAGCATGAGACCGGTTCATGCAGTTTATGAGCGTATTGTCATATCAAGCAGTTCTTGTTGCGAGGGTCCGCTCATGTTCTTTTACATTAAGTCAAAGCCCATGTGCGTGGTGTGTGGGGGGTAGCGTGCAGCGCAGGGGGCAGGCCAGTTGCTTGTCGCGGAGTATTTGCTTTTGAAAGCTCTAGTGTCGACGTTTACGACTTGAGGTTCGCTGTTTCAGTTTTATGCGCTGAAAGACGACATTTGCGGAGTTTGAGAGGTCAGGTCTTGATCGTATGTTCTGGGATTGGGCCTGAACCAGTTTGATATCACAGGTTCATTTTTCCAATCCTGCCATCCTCTGCTGTGGAACCTAGACCACAGATCTTGACTCATTTGTGTCCTTGATGGCGCCGAAGTTCAAAATGGCCAGCTGTCTAGCAATACCTTTGATCCCACAACCCTTGGGGAAGCAAGTCACGAAGCACATAGGTAGTTGGCAAGCTTGGTGCAGGCCTGTGAGTGGCTTCTTAGACTGATCTGACGAACCGTTGCCGAACTTGAAGCAGGCTCTTCTCAAGGCACGGACGGAGGGATCAGAGGGTAACAGCTGACGTTAAGGCCCAGGGTTTGATTTTGAGATAGGTTGAGCTTAGCTTGGACTCAGGGCATGGAGCTTGAAGGGCTTAGGGCCAGATGTGCCAGTAGGCTTGAGGACGTTTGAGTTCAGAGCTCGCTGGTTTGCCCATGTACAATAAGCAAGGGTCAAGGTAGGTTGTCGTTCTGCGCGGTTGGGAGCTCAGCCGGTTTTCGTTAGCAAGAGGGCTGGAAGGGAAGTGTGCATCATGGTTGAGGACTTGGTGGTTTTATTTTGGTACCCCTGAGGAGAGGAGGTGTGGCATGAAACCTCTAGCAAGAACAATGAACAGGGCGCGCCTGTCTACTTTTTCAAGATATGTTGCTCCTCGTCGGGAGACCCCAGCATCTGATACCTCAGACTGCTAGACACCCCAAAGATAGTCGGCGGAATAATTGTCGGCGAAGCAGGTTTCCGTACCGTGCAGACCTGCGCGTGCATCCACGAGATCCTGATCACGGACTGGCCGAATTGGAAGGCATCTGCGATTCAGCCATGGTCAGAGGACTCAGCATTTAAGAGACCTGGGTTCAGGGTCCAGTGAATGTGCTTTGTTGGTTTTAGATGCGCTTTTTACACTTTTAAATAGCTTAAACATGTTCAGCGTGTAGGGTTCGAATTCGGGCTCCCGACCATTAAATTTTGGTTTGTTGCTCAGATGCTCAGATGTCAGGCTAAAAGTTAACATGGAATTTGCAGAATGCAGCTCAGCAGACAGCGTCATCATTATTCAGAAATTGGGAGCTCCGCTTGGCCACGTTTGAAAAACACCCCAACTTGCATAGCAGAGAGTGGTGGTGCCACGCTCCTCCATGGCAGTGTGCGTTTGCATGTTTGTGATCTTGGCAACCCTGGAGACGACTGCAGCAAAAACCCTGATATCTCGCCAGCAGACTTTCGCTTGGGAGTCAAGACTGCAAAGAGCAGCTATCAGGTAGCTCTGCTTAGTCGAAATCACTGGACCCTGAAATTCCCCGAAGTGCCAAACCCTGGCCACAGCATCAAGACAGCCAACCACAGAATTTTGTCAGAACCCCAGGCTCCTCGACCTTTCAATGTGTAGGCCCCGAGAAGCCTTGAACCGAAGCCTTCAGCCCTGTAAAGTCGAAACCTTGGGTCCTTGACCTTGGACTCTTAGCCCCTGAGCAATTATGACCACCTTATCCGACCTCACCCCAAATAGTGGTTGATGTAGTCAGAAGTTGGCAAATTTGCTTTCTTTCGGGTTCTGAGATGTAAAATGGTCAGGGCCCTGGACCCTCAACTCGAAGCCATGAGCTCTGAACTCCAAGCCTGATAATGTTAATCATAATACCAATAACAAGAATAGTCACAACATTAAGATGGGTAGTGATTGTAGTAATAGTAATAATGAACTCTACATTCAGAGGCAGCCTGCGGCTGAGTGGACAGGGCCGGGCCTCTTGATGGCCACTGCCAAACTGGCGCCAACCCATCTCTAGCAGCACGGCAGAAGAGAAAGGCGACAAAAACATGAAGCTGCAAGCTGCAAAAAACCAAGAATTTCTAAACCAGATGTCACAGGATCTCTTTTCTTCAGACTGCCTTTAAAGGGACCTTTTGCTGATTAGCAAGTTCAGTATGAAGCGGTTCTGGGAGGCTTAGTTATACATACTCAGCGGCCTTGAAGTTCCTAGTCTGTGAGTTTGCAGCTAAAGCCATCGGAAGGGAGGTGCATGAGGAGGGACACAGTATCTGAAACGATGGGGAGACTTATCAGCCACAGGCCTTCTCCCGCGCCCATTGGAGTTTACGTTCAAAGTGAAAGATAATGACTTCTTCATCCACCTACGCACGTATTTCCCTGCCTTTCCTAAGTTCCTAATATAATACATTTCAATCAATGAGCATAGTAAAACCCACACGGTGCGTGAGCTTCACAAATTCAGTTGTGAATAGATCATTAAGTAAATCAACCACCGTGTGTCTAGTCTTCTTGCTAACCACGTACCACAAATGTCCGGTTTTGCTTGCAAAGGAGGGCAGCATTGGGAACGAATTGAAAACTCTCTGATGAGCCCATTGTGCTGTTAAGCATCTCAAGCCATTTTGCAGCAAGATCAGCAAGTACGGTTCAAACTTTGCAGATGTTGCAGGCAGGGTTTACTGTCAAGTTCCAGAAGCCTAGACTTCCGCATCTTGCACAGCGCGCGGTACCTCACGAGAAACATTGGCACAAGCAGGCTTGGTACTGTTGATCGTCCTAGCGGGCGTCTAGCGCCCTAGCACGGAGGACATGTGAGTGAGCTCAGGAGCCCAAAACGGGCGATGCAGTGCTTCAAGTGCAACAGCGCCCGCTTCTCGCGCACAGTACAACATGATCGGCAATCGTCCGTGAAACCATCTGAGGTGATTTGGACCGTGTCCAGCAGCTATTCAGCAACTTCTTCATGCAGCAAACTTTGAGATCGGTGCGGTGGTGCCAAAATTTTTTTGGCCGTCTTATTGCCCTTGATCCGTGAGGTGCCCAACCACAGCCCCACTGGCGCAGTTTCCCTGCTCAGCGCAACCGGCGAAGCAGACCACCAAACCGACCACCAGTCGTCCGCTCATGCGTGTCAGGTGATTTGGCTGCCACTCGCACAAAGTTCGCAAGATCATGGAGCAGAAAGGAGGACCTCAATTTTCCGCACTCGCCGCAGCCCAAGCCAACGGCGGTAGACATAGGTGATTTGCATTAACCTCGTGATCAAGCCACTTCCTTTAGCTAGTGAGCTCAGGAGCCCAAAGCCGGCGGTGCAGTGCTTCAAGTTCCAAACCGCCCGCTTCTCGCACACAGTACAACATGATCGGCAATCGTCCATGAAGCCATCTGAAGTGATTTGGACCGTGTCCACCAGACACTCTGCAACTTCCGGATCCAGGCGACTTGCCATCATGCAAGTGCGTGTGGTCGAATCGGTGCCATTAGCAATAACTCACTCGCCAGCCGAGCCTCAGCTCAAGGCAAGCAAGCGTCATGCACGTCCAGCATGGGCGAGAGCCCAAGAAAACTGCTCCAGGTCACTGCCTGAGAGAAGCCATGAGCTTGTGTGTCCTCGCGCCCGGACCGTGTTCGCTGCATGCTCCAAGGGCTGCAAGTCATGCAGTCAGGCTCGAATGGATGCTACAGCGATCAACGATCGCGTAGGTGTAGACCGTGATGGTCAACTGTGTGCAGCTTCGGAGGCCCTAGTGCCACTGGACCGTCAGTGAAGTTCCAATTTCATGGCTAATTCGCAGTGTATAAATATGTGTCGCTGCTTTCTGAACTTGCAGGTCCAAATCCACCAATATTGAACCAATCTTCGGCAGCCCTGTTCTCAAATCAGCGGCTGAACAACAGCTGTGTGCGCCACCGCAAGACTTGCCAACCATGCCAGATCGCCCGCGCCGAAGAGTTCACTGTTGGGCTGCACGCAGTTGTCAATCCTGGCATGCTTTCGTGTTGGAACCCCCAGTCAGTTAGGACCAGCACGCCCGTTTTCGACCTTGGGCAGGTCAGATCGCCACTGATCCGGGCGAGCGGAGGCCAGAGACAAGCCTGCATTGAATTTTGAAAGTTGTGACTTGTAAGCTCTGCAGCTGCAGATTGCAGCATGGCTCGACACCCTAAATCAGCAACCCTATCAGCACTACATCCTTAACCCTAGCTTTTACGCCTAAATCCTGCAGCCCAAACCCCCAATCCATAACCCTGAACCCTTAACTTCTTCCCCTTAACCCTGAATCGTAAAGCCTTAGCCTGACGTGCTCAACCTGAAATCTGAACTCTGAATCCTAAAGCCTAAACCCTACCTCAGTGGACCGCGAGTTTGGGCTGCGCAGCCTACTGTTGGAGTGAGCAGCGTGTTTGGGTGTTGGGTGTTCGGCCTTTGGCTACTTGGGGGGTGGGGGTTCGTCAAAGTTGTGGTCACTTCGAATGGGTTATAAGGGTTTTTTGGACGCGTACGTGGGTAGATAAAGGTTTAGGGATTGGGGTAACTTTTAAGGTTGTGAGCAGTTCTGGTATGTGTGGGGTGCCCAATACATGGGCCGTTTGTTAATCGAAAGCCAAAAAAAAGACCACAATTTCGATAACCTGGCATGGCAGCGGGTTTGTCGTGTTTATGAGGTTCAGTTTAAAGTGAAGATGCCAGCCTTGGTCGAAGTAGCCTGCGCACTTTATTACCATACTTGGACGCCCCCAATTAACAAGGAATGCCAACACCATCGTTCAGCGGCCTGTTTCTGATCACTGGTGCTTTGCAAGGTGTCTTGTGGAGTTCGTAACACTTTCCACGGCCCAAGACCCAAGCCAACATTATTTTCCGAAGGATGCTTAACGGCCGAAAAATTCAGCACGAAGATTGCCGTACTAGTAGTAGGTGGCATGAAGCATTGGACCGAAGCCCTAGGCGCCAAACTTCCGATACTGCCAGTACGCTATACCAGGCCTAGACTATTCTAATTGTTAATTATATATTGCCCTTTATGAAGGTGTTAAATGTGATTATTTTGAAGTGGGGGAGGGGGGTGTACTTGCCTGAAACCAGAAGTCTTAGACCTGGAACCCGGTGCATGGGGTGCTTGATGATCCGCAGTCAGTGGCTGCAAGGTACCTCACACTCACAAAAGGGTGGCAGGACAACAAAGTGGCACCTTGCATATTCATCTGGGTGGGACATTATGACAACTCTAGCACTTCACAGCTTTAGGCAGCTTTAGAAGGTTCCTTGAATTTCACAGTCAGGGAGCTAAAAGTTCACCTTTAATTGGGGGAGTGAAAAGCGGCCAAGTCCCTGCTGTTTCTTCCTCTTCCTGGCTAGATATTTTTGGAGGCCTCGAGGTAGCAGGTATGTTTCATTTATTGTTTAGATTTCTCTTTCAGTAGGGAGGGTAGGGCTTCAATTCGGGTGTCGG